TACCTTTCTCAGTGTGGCAGTTCACATGTTGCCTCTTCAGTGATCTGACCGAAGATCAATTGACAGACAATTTTCCCGCACCATTTCCCTCTTTTTTTAAAAAAAAAAACAAAGGAAAATACCCATAGTCCATTTGTTGGGAATGTGGGCATAGTATTTTAGGCTACTTCCTGCTGGTTGGGGGCGCTGATGATCTTATGGGGACCTAAAGAAAATTTAGAGTTATAATCAAGTCCTGTCTGGAGTATCCTGTGAGTCCTGATCATCTCAGGCAGCATCTTGAATCCATTCTGGATGTAGAACTCAGACATCTGGGTCATCTGTTCCTACCAGAGATTTTAAAATAGCACAGCATTTTTCCTGCTACGCCTGAAAACCGAAAAGCATGTGTTCAGCTTTTCATCAACACCATTTAAGTGTTTCATGGCAGGACCTCTTAAAAGAGCTGCAGGGTTTTGTAGCTAAAGCTGAGTCAGGAAGCCTCTCTTAGATGAGAGTGCTTGCTTGCCGCTAGCAAACAGAGCAGACCCGAGAAATTGCTGCCACCAAGAAAATATGTTTTACTCTATTCTTTTCCAAGCTTTTTCAAGCTTTCTGTGGATTCAGTTATCCACATTGGGCGCCATCTGTAACATGAGGGCTGGCTTGTTGGGGTTTCTGTCCCGCCCAGTACCCCACAGCCAGCAACTCCCAAGGAAAATCACAATAAGCTGATTGGCCCATTAGGTCAGGCTTCTTATTAGTCCTTGTAACTTATATTAATCCATTATCATTATCTATGTTAGCCACACAGCTCAGTACCTTTCTCAGTGTGGCAGTTCACATGTTGCCTCTTCAGTGATCTGGGCAGGAATGGCGGGGGGAGCTTCCTGCTTCCCAGAATATTCCTATTCTCATTGCATCACCTCTACTTCCTGTCTGGCTTTCCCACCTATAGTTCCTGCCTGGCCAATCAGCATTTATTTAAAATATGATTGACAGAATACAGACAATTCTCCCACACCAGTTATACGTACATGTATTTCTCATCTTGATTAAGGTATTGTGATTGTATAGTTCAATTAAAAATGTAATGTTGAATTAGGAAATATGGGTTGTTAATGGATAATCATCAATAATAGTAAAATTTGTAGTCATGTTAGTTCAATTTTCTAGATATATAGAGATATATTTCAGTTAGATAGAAATTCTTCATATATTTCAAAGACTACAAAATATGGCATTTAAAATGTTTTAATAACTTAGGGCTTTTCATGACAATGAGACGTGCCTGTTCCTGGCAGCACCAATCTACTTCGAGAGGAAGATGGGCATCGAAGAGGCTCCTTATGGAATTGGTTAGCCATTTGTGCAAGAAACTGCTCTTGCCTGGACTGTTACATAAACTGGACATGAAGAACCTGCAAAGAGATAACTGCTGAACTTGCCTAAAGGTGAGATGATCCATGGGGGTTCCTGTTTCATGAAAGAGTCTGCAAGACATTCTGCAGGACACAGAAGAAAGTAACTAAACTGTCCACAAAATTTCCTGCTTCATGGAAAACTCTGCTTGATACTATGGGCCTGTAGGCTGAAAATGGATGCCCCAATGGTACAAAAGAACTTTGGGTGACTGTACAGGCAGCGAGATGTCTCTGTCAATTCTAAAGTTTGGGAAGTTGCTTACTTCTTGTTTGCTTAGGTAATATTATATCCTTCTGGAGTCTTTGATGGAGTTGAAGAATAGATAGATAGTTATAGTTTTCCTTTTTTATGATAAAAGATAAAATAGATCTAAATATTGTTACTGTAATTCTTGCTTGATACCTGTTATATGTAATTTTACTATGTTAAAGCCTTCCTTTTTGTTTAAACAGAAAAGGGGAAATGGTGTAGGAGGTCCTTCTGTATTTGTGTTGCTTTCATTGGTTAAATAAAGAAACTGCCTTGGCTTTTTGATAGAGCAGTACTTAGAAGGGAAGACAGAACTGAATGCTGGGAAAAGGAAGGCAGAGAGGGAGAGCCACCATCAAGTTGCAAGATCAGAGACGCTAAATCTTTTCTGGTAAGCCACAACCTCATGATGATACACAGATTAACAGATCAGGATGTAAGTGTTGGCCAAAAAGTGGCTAGATATAATGGACCAGGCAGTAATTTAATTAATACAATTTCTGTTTGGTTATTTTGGGGATTAAACTATCCAGGTGGTGGAACACAGCCCGTTCCTTCTTACTATACCAGCCTAGGAGGAGAATCTTGGACATCCCTGCTGTTCTCTCCTCCTACAAAATAACCACTTCTTCTCTCTCTGTCCCCTTTCCCAGTCTTAGACTTTATCTCTTTATCTCATCATATTTAATTTTTAACAATTATATGAATATTATTCATAAGTTTATCACAGTGGTTTATACATGTAGTCACAGCCCTTAGGATACTAAAACAAGGAGAATTATGGTGAGTCTGAGACCATCCTAGACTATGTAGTAAATTCCAGGCCATCCTGGCTACCTAAAACTCCTCTCAAAACAATCTAACAAAAAGCTAAGTACTAAAAATTGTGACTAAATTGTATAACATATCACATTGTAATTATTTTCCTACAATAAAATGTTTCTTTGTGGTAATAATAACTGCTATAATAAAGACACTTTCAAATCTCAGTAAATTATCACAGAACCAGTTCATTTCTTACACATAGAAAGTTGAATGCAGATGTACTGGTAAGCTCTCCATAGGATGATTCAGATATCCAGGCTCCTCTTATACTGCTTCCCTCCTACCTTCTGGCACCTTGGGATCCTTTGTTGAATCATTCACACCTTCAGGGAAGCCAGAATGATGTGTTCCTGAGGGAGACTGGGAACGATATAGACAATCTCCACTTATTTCTCATTGGTTAGATTCAAAGAATGAAGGATAAACCAAACAGCAAAACAGGATAGAAACAGAATCCCCTCACAGATAGAAAACAAATGGGAGTTTGGCACTGTTCCTGCCATTCACTCACTCTTCTTCTTACACGTACACAGTCAGTTCTTTCATTAGGGCAGTAACCCAAAGGTCACTGCTTCCATAGTGAAGATCAAGACTCTTAGGTAATGCATAGAATTCCAGCTCTGACTCTTTGAGGTCAACAAACTATGAGCCCAACACACAAACCATTGCCCGGTCTCAGTCTCCAGGGCGTCTACACAGACTGAGCAGCCACTGGGGAGAAGCAGGGATCGTGAAGGGGAAAACAGAAAACACTCAGCAATTGTTGGCACATTTCAATAATGGTGCCTAGACCCTGCTTCTCTTTTCTGGGATGACAGCCTCATTCACATTTTTATGGCTTCTGAATATACCTTTTGGGGATTTTTTCCTGGTTCATGATTTCGACTAACACATCAGAAGTAGTGTTGTGTCTGCCTCTTTTGAGAACTCTGCGGGTTTAAAAGAACATTTTCAACTTAAGAATCATTTAATGTTTACTTAAAATTTTTATGATGTTTTCTAATTTTATGGTGCATTTGATACAACTCCCTCAAACGTTCCTTAGACTTCTGCTTTACTGGTTGTCAATCATTTTCACATCTACTCAAAGTTCATTCCCAGATAATGTTCTCAATCCTAACTTCACTACCTTGCTCTTACTTCTGTCTTTCAACTTGGGGTAATTATCTGGAAATCAAGTAAAACCCACAATTCAGCCAGGAAGGTTGAGTCATTAGTGGAGTCTTTGCTATAGCAAAATTGTTTGGGGTAACAGAGAATTCGTTAAGTCTCTTCATACTTTGTCTTCCAATTCTTCATGAGAAATGTAAAGCTCTTGTATGTTTAAGCACTTCATTCTCCCTTCTGTGTAAAGAAATCATTCCCAGATCCACATTCTCCTGTCTCGTTTGGATCTAGTTGCTCTCTAGGTCTCTCAAACAGTTAGAGCACTGAGGTCTGTGTTTATATTCATCCTGGAAAAAACAAAATCTCCTTCTCTTGCTGATAGTTTAAAGCCTCTGTTTCCTGGATCCCATTGTCAGAATCTGGGATTCAATTTACTCAAGACACAAAGCAATACATTTACCTGATTTTGTGCTAATTAAATTAGAAGAGAGAAAGATACATCTAGATCACAAAGGCTTTAATATAACAACACAACAAGCACCCTATCTGTTCTCCTTCTACTCCCCAGTCCCAAGGGGATGGCACGGAGAGGCTTGGGTAGATGCTGCACATGCTATGAAGTGCTTTACATAAAAGGAACACTGAGCTTGCATTTTATTCCTGTGATTTTATTAGGAAGCTGTAAGCAACCTGCTCTTCATCCCAGAGGGGGTATTACTTCATCCTTGAAGATCACCTGATGCACTTGGAGCCCTTTCAAAATGGCACTTGTAAAGAAAGATCAGGGCCTTGTGTTCTTGGCATACTTTAGATGTTCAGGGATGTTAATGGTTAGTGAAGGCTAACTTTCTCAAAACCTATCTGAGCCACACCCACCTCCTGAATTCTTCAAATTTACCCTATCATGGTTTTTGGCCAGAAAGATTTCTAAGAAAAATCAAGGACCAAATCTATTAGCTACCATTGGATGCCAAAGGCTATGAATGGCACATGGCAGTCAATCACTCCATAATTCAAATAAATGAAGACAAGAGATTTATTCTGTAAATGGTATGTGTTAAAACATGGGTAAAAAAAGCATACATGTGTCCTTTGGAAGATCTTTTAAAATCCATCTATTCTCTATATATTTAACATCTAAATTTTTATTTTCCCTTTCAACTATCTCATATTCCACAACCATTAGAGATCCTAGTTTGACAAGCCCTGTAACTTAGATAAAACCATCCTAGCTTAGAATTCACGTCTATCTGACCTTAAAGTCTGGGCCTTTCCACATGCTTACTTCTCCTGCTCATTACATTTTCCATAAATGTCTAATGACATCCAAACTCCTTCAGTGATTGCTCAAGTGTGGTGGTTCTTGACCAAGGGAATTTTTGTGATGTCTAGAGGCATTTTTGTTCATTATAGCTAGTGTGGGAAGTAATAATGGAAATTTGTGGTCAAGAATTTTGCAAATACCACTCATGGACAATAAATGATCTGCTCCAAAGTGGCCACAGTGGCAATACTGAAAAACTCGGCTTTGGTGTGAATGGATGGCACTTTCTCGTGGGTGTCATTCTGCTGACTGCTTCCGTGTCAAGTGAGCAAGAACCCATTCTTCCCCAGTTTTCATGCCTTAGTGTCTCAAAAGCCCAAATTTATCTTTCATTTAGTGCTATAGACTTTGCTTATTCTGCCACGTTTCTCTCTTCTATCTTTTCTTGTAAAGATTTACTTGTAAATTATTTACTTTGTAAAGTAAGTGATATCCAAAAAAGAGCTTCAGTTAAACAACATGGATGTAGGGCTCATTTCTCCCTGACTCTCAGCCATAAATACTCCTGTGTGGTCAAATTTATGGCATGCTACTGTTTGAATAACAAGGACACAATAGACATTTCATGACCTTATATCTTGCCCTTAGCAGTAAATTAAGTTTAAGATTATTTCAAAAGAGATTCATCTACATAACCAATCTGACCCTTTTGTCAAATATTGGCCTCACTTAAACACAAAGTCCCTAAAAGTTTAGAAGACCTAATCCTACCAAATTAACTAAGTATTTCTGCATTTGTGTTTGGGCTGGGTCAGGAAACAATGTAAACACTAATAATCTACCACTAGATAAGTCCTGTTTGCATGGTCACCTAACCTGACCTAACCCAGGATAAACAGGTAAATCAGTACATGAAAGTTTGGCATGTGGGCTTAATTCCCAGACCTAAGAGATTAGACGTGAGTTTGAAAAGCTATATAAGCACAGATCTACTAATGTATACAGATCACTGTTAAACCCATCCTACAGGTAGAATTCCTTGGCTTCATCTGTGCAATTTCCCGCCTGACAACTCAGTTTGCATTATCTCTTGACAGGTGTTAGAAGCTTGGCATTTTCCACTCATCAATAATATTGGAAACTAAATGGTTGTATAGAAGACGGAAGCCTCCCCCAAAATGTTCTGTATCTCTCCTGGTCTCTTGGAGTTGTCCATGTAGCACCATTGTTCTTCATTTGTCTCTTCTGTATTTCTGCTTTCCTTAAACTTTATCCTGGCACTCATTCCCAGCAAGCTCTTTCCCTCCCTTCTGGCTGCCAACTCCTTTCTTCTGCCACTGCCCTTTTTTCTGGCTCCAAAGAAATCTACTCAGCAGTAATTCAGACTCATAATTCAAGGGTGCAACTTTACAAACAGGAGTGAGCTATTTTTCCATGAAAAAGTAATACTAAAGCCTGCATCTTCAATTACAGGGAATTATATGGAGTGGTAACTGAACTTACAGAATTTCCAATGTTTTTAAGGTAGAAAGGAAAAGGGAGATGTAAGAAGAGAAAAAGGATCCACAAATAGATTTTTTTTTGTCTTGAAGCATACCAGAAGTGGAAGTTTATGTGCCAACAGAATGTTCCAAACACCATTTTTTTAATGCTTTCCCATGAATGCAAAGTATAGTCCCAGTACATCGTTTATTACTGAAACTGGCGTTCATGTGATACAGTAGTTAAAAGGCTACAATAGCTTCCTATAATTTAAGTGACTAAAGTCTAGATGGATGAACTGGGAAAATGGTGGTTGATGGAGGCAATGGGCTTTGCAAGGCAGCCAAACATTTCTCAAATCTCTAGACAGACAGGAAGTGAAGAAAGATGAAAGATTGAACCAGAACATAAAACCATACACCTCTTCTAAGAAAAGAAGAGCTGTATTTGATGCATTCATCTTCCCAGGAAGGAGGTAAGGAATAACAGAGGGTGAACATTGTTCAAAACTCTCTAACAGCTTCTCAATTGATTTAATTTAACCCCACAGATAATGTTCTGGATCTGGATCCAACTCTCATCGTAAAGGCTCATGATAGTCAGTGACACTGAACTCACTTTCTCTTTTCTTTCTCCCAAGCAGGCACTGAACTCTTTGTCTTTCTTGAATATTTTCTACCCAGAACCAGGGACTGGATTTCTACAAAGTCTAAAATGAAAACTTCAAGCCATTCTGGTGGAAGATGGTGAAATAATTACATGTGAAGTTATCCCTGGGGTCCTACAATATGAGAGCAGTCCTTTCTGACCTCCTGCCACTCCCCTGTCCATCTTCAAGGCATCAAAAATAAAATAAGCACTAAAGTCTATCTGATGACAGCGTTTGATAAATGAACTCCTGTAGCTGAGGAGGAAGGAATCAGGTTTGGACTATGCTGAGAGGCAATAGAATGTTTATCAGTTGGCCTGTGGAGACTTACACACTGTTTGGCACGTTTGTTTTTGTAGAGAATAATTGGTAACCATATCTCCTAACTTTGGAAAACTTTCCATGGACTTTGACATCCCAAGATGGAGATAGCTTTGTAGTTTGACTGGTGAGAGGAAAATGTAAGAGAAGGGGAGAAGGAAATAATTTTTCATCTGAAGGTAGAATAATAAAAAAGCACTCTTCTTTTGTTTTTTTTTTTTCAAGACAAGGTTTCTCTGTCGCTTTGGTGCCTGTCCTGGAACTAGCTCTTGTAGATCAGGCTGGCCTCGAACTCACAGAGATCCTCCTGCCTCTGTCTCCTGAGTGCTGGGATTAAAGGCATCTGCCACCACCATCCGGCACAAAGAAGCACAAAGAGTTGAAAACATTTAAACAAATAACTGCTATTTTGTGTGTATGAGCCTTCTTAAATATATTGGAGAGAAAGAGCATACACACACACACACACGCACATACACACACATATGAATTATAGAAAATAAATTCTGCTTTGTTCATGAAAGAAGCAATGGAAGAACCAACCATCCTGGCATTTAAATCTAGACCTGGGGAGGAGTAATTGCAAGAAGCCCTTGACTGTTCATTCTCTTCTGCTGCCCTCATACTCTGTTTAAACCTCCTACAGCACTTTCCACATATGAAGGTAATTAAATATTAATATATCTGGTTTTGTCAACAACTCTTAAGATTTTTTAAAGAAAAAGTCTGCCTTTTTTTCAGCCTGGTTACTGCTGACATATTTGGGATCTTTAAATGTTGAATGAGTGAAGGTATAAATGAATGAATAACATTCTGCATGATGATTCCCTCTTTCAAGAAATGCCCCCACTGAAGAACCATTATGCACATGAAATGAATGGAAGTAGGTAAAAGTGTCATTAAAATGCAATGCATCATCAGTAGTAACTTAAGGAGCAGTGACACCAAGATGAATATGGAGCATGAGCAGATGAAGGTAAGGAGACTTAGAGCATCCAGCCTCCAGCTCACTGGCCACAGCCAACTTACAAATGTCTAATTATATCTGAAAAAGACCCCGTCTGGAGTTACCTAAGGAAAAGTCCATCAGTGGTTATTATTCATTA